ATAATAATAATAATAATATATTATATATGTATGTAAGCGGGAAAATAATTCAAGCGCCTGCCGTCACTTAAGCCCGTCTGTATAATTATGTATTATGTATATATATAGCTGCTGAATGCGCCAACTATTACGCTGCAGCCGACGAAATTATAATAACATTTTGTTTCTGCAGGGGGTCCCTATAAGGTAGGTATTATATATGTCATAATAAGTATACCGATATTTATCCGTTCTATGTACAATACATATATATATATAGATAAATATGTATATAATCGCTACACAAATACATTCACGTGACGTCTGGTGACGATTTCCGCCGTTTTAAGAGTGTCCAGGGGACTTGAACTATTTCAAAAGACTATTAAATTTGTGTCTATATAAAAAATGACCTCGAAGACAGAATCAAAATATAATATCAAAAAATACCAAATRTATATGCGAATAATTGTACCACATGCGGTGTTAGTGCAATATTATAATACGACTATGTTTAATGTAATTATGGTATCTTACCTTCACTTGAGATTCGGTCATGCCCAGTGCGTACGCCAATTTCGCCCGTTCCGGACCCGCCAGGTACTTGGTCTGCTCRAAAGTCTTCTCGAGCGCGAAGATCTGTTGCCCGCTGAACGTGGGCCTCGTATGCTTCTTTTTGCCGTCTTTTTCTTGATTCGAATTGTTCACTAGAAAACATATCACCACGATTATTTTTCAATATTATTATACTGTTTWTATTATTTATTATAATATGTATTACTCAACACACGTTATTTTAAAAATATCATTGCACAACCTAAAATACTTTATACGAGTATACATATTATTAACACTTATACTCTATTGCAGTTGTTGATGTTATACACATAATATATAATATAATATTTACTTTCATACATTATTATACTATCGATCTTATTATGACGAGTTATCAGTATAATGATAGCAGAAGAATATAATGATAATGCATAAACAATCAACGCGTGTAATACACTAAAATGAACTATTCCGTTCATATATAGGTATACTTATCTGCAGCAACGCACGTAATATATTGTTGTACATATATATATATATATACAAAATATATGTATCATACACACATCTAGAGCAAAAATCATTGTGTWGGATCATTTCATACAATAAAGGAAAATAATAAAAAATAAACTTTTACTCGATTTGTTCCGTCTATATACACCATCCTGCAATTGTTCGTACATGTATTGTAACGTCGTAAACTCTTAGCGACAATTTCAAATAACTCCGGAATAGCTCTTATTATTATCGAATTTTGGTATGCTCCTATATATATATATGTGGTGGTATAAAAATAAAGGAAACGTCTCCAAGCAATATAGAAACAATAACATATAAAATAACAACGTTTCCCATGCGGCGGCGGTGGTGGTGGCGTTTCCTTTTCGATATTGCCGGCAAATAGTTATCGTAAACACAACAATCTGGCCGAATGATCGTTGCGGTCGATTTTCAGGGCGCCGAAACACGCTGCACGTATATAATCTATATATATAGCATCTCTCCACGCTTTCGGTTTCTCTCTCTCTCTCTCGCTCTTACTTTATTTTCGTGTCTTTTTCCCCTACGCTCCTTCTCCGCACTCACACAGACACGCATACTTACAATATATATATATATATATATATATATCGTTTAAAACAACGAACAAAAGTAATATAATAAAAGGAGCAGCAGCCCAACAACATAAAATACGTTTAAAACGAACGCGTGTGGAGAAAATAAATAGCTTATATACAGTGTACGATGTACGTATATCGTGTGTTCGTGTGTGTGGATATGATATATATTATTTTTTTTTGCCGGAGGAGAAAAACCGCGAGGGAAAGCGGTGTGATGATGSAAGTGTATGTGTGCAGCGTGTGTGTAAGGCACCAAGGGATGTCGGAAATAGCGGCTTGACGGCCGGGAGGACGACAGAAAAGGGGCGTTATGTTTTTATCACTCGCTCGACGAGACGAGCAATATATGGAACGGGGGCGGTGGACGATATTCAGGGTTCCGGGAAAGCGTGTCAACGAGAATTTCATTTTGTTAACACAATCCACGGCGGCGGCGGTGGTGGTGTCGCACACACACGCACGTGTACCCCCCCGAAAAACGTTGTTTTCGTCTTCACGTCCCTTCGCCGCMATCATATCCTGCAGCACGCACCCGCGGAGGAGAATAAGAAAAACCAAATAAACGATCTATTTCTCGGCGGCGGCGCCCGGGGACCGCCAAATCCCGTTTACTGCATTTCAATGTAATTCCGCCGGCTTTCGCCGCAGCCCGCCATCGCACTTTAGCGCGCACGCGTGTGTATATATACACGACACACGCATACATATGTATATATAT